ACAACCCGACACGCTCTCGCATACCCCTGCTCCTTCCTCCCCACCCCCAAAATACACCTCAACACCCCCCACCCCCACCCCCCCACCCGCCCACCCCCACCCTCCCACCTGCAATTCGTTGCGCCAGGGTGAACCTGGGCCTGGTCCAGGCCGAGTCGTAGTCGGACTGCAGCGGCCACTCCAGGCAGTAGCGCACGCAGCACCGCCGGGCCACCAGCAGCAGCTCGTCCAACAGCAGACTCAGCACCGGACTGCCCACGTTGATGGCCATGAGGATCTGAACACCACCCGGGGTAAGGGGGGAGGGGGGAGGGGGGAGGGGGGAATACCACCACGGGGAGGAGGGGCACACTCTAAACGTTAGCTTAATGCGGGTATGTATGTATGTATGTATGTATGTATGTATGTATGTATGTATGTATGTATGTATGTATGTATGTATGTATGACTTAGATTACACTGTGGGCCGCGAGAGCCGGGGGCCGAAGCTGAAACACAGCGCAACGGTCGGGAGCACACAGCACAAGTCGGTTAGTCTTGTGTGCTCCCGACCCCGACTCAGACTGCCAACACTCTACGCAGCCACTCCGCAGCCCCTCATCGAGCCCACAAGTCTCAGCTAGGGCAAAGTCAAAGGCTCTCTGAAACAACCCCCCAAAACACCACCAACGAAAACGGGATTTGAAGGGAAAAACAAACAAACAAAAATTCGGTTAGGGCAGTCCCGGCAGGGGAGGGCTCCTGATATACCTAACAGGCCAACAGAAAAACCTCCAAGATATAAAGGCTAAGAGAGCTCGACACCACAAGACGTCTTGCAACCACCTTAAAACAACTGACCTCCACCACCTGTCCCTTCCTGGGCTGGTCCAGGGGAGAAGTAGCCTTATAAAGAAAAGGGATCCCGCACAAGCCTGATCACCACTGCAGGGGCCCGGGATAGTCCGGCGAAACGACCAAAGCGTTAGCGTTGCCACGACACACAGCTCCTAGACCCTCCAGAAAACCGCAGGGGGAGGATTGTAGCCCGCGCGGCGCCTCCCCCTTACCGCCACTAACCTGAACGGTTGGTCCTCCAGAAACCTATTCACCCTGTCTCGTACTGCACCGCTCTCACCTTCGTCCCTCACCAAGCAACCCAGTCCCACAGAGAAGACGTGCCTAAATAGAATGGCCCTCCTCGGGCCACATCTCCCCCTCATCCGAGCCCCGCTGCCACCACCAGACCTCAACCTCCCAAACACCAGAAAACCTACGTCCTTTTGGCGCTCTCACCGCCATCTCCCCCCTCCCCTGTCCGAGCGACCCCACCTCCCCCCGGCTCTCCAGCACCCTACAACCTCGGAGCGGCACTAGGGAAGAAAAAGGGTTCTTCCCTGCACGACGTGACCGCCTCCATTCCCCGTCCTTCTCCTCTCCCTCTCCCGTCTCGGGGTTTCCGCTCACCTATTCCCTTGCCCTCCAACCCCCATCCCCCTCGAACTCCTATACCCCCCCGAGCCCTGCCCTACAAACTAAGCTCAAAGCGCTCTTAGGCAATAACTTCCACCGCTTCGGCGCACCGCAGTGCGCCTTCTGAAACCGACAGGATCGGGTGGTCGGGTCCCACCCTGTCCCAGCCTCTCCGCGGGGTGCCCAGCGCCGTGAAGGAGCGCAGACGCGCCCAGAAGTCCACCACTGCCCGGGCGCAGGCCCGCTCATGTATGTATGTATGTATGTATGTATGTATGTATGTATGTATGTATGTATGTATGTATGTATGTATGTATGTATGTATGTATGTATGTATGTATGTATGTATGTATGTATGTATGTATGTATAAGGTATGTACGTGTTGTACATGTGTACTGTGTGTTTTTGTGTTGCAATGTATAAGGTAATGCGAACGTGTATGTGGTGTATGGTATATGTGTGCACTGCTGGAGGCCGAGTACCCGACTGCCGTACATCCTCCAGGGAGGCGGGGGCAGCAGACGAGGCCTCCAACGCATCACATACATATCAGAGCACGGTACGGCATAGATTTAAGTGGAACCCCGCCCTCCGCCCTCCCTCACCAAAATGGACAGCCCCACGTTCTCGTACCAGCCGGGCGTGAAGTCGCTGTACGATCCGTACTGTGCAGTACAACGGGATGCAGGGCGGCCCGGGGCGCAAGATGTGTGTAGGGGGGAGGGGACGAACCACGAACGAGGGGGGAAAGTGGGAAGTGAACTGTCCAACGAACGAGGGGGGGGGGG